ATCGAGGACTAATCAAGAGAGAAATATGTACTAAATATAAGACATTTTAGGTTTGTGACCTAAATTAAAGTCTTATATTTCTGTACAGAGGGAGTACCTCTTATCAGGAAATATGACTATAGTTTTAATCCAGCATGTGATTTCTAGAGCCACATAAATTCTGCTATATAATTACATGCAAATGCTCGCAGTCTGAGCTGATCTGATGATTGCTAAGCAGAATGAACCGTCTGGTCCGAAGGAGATTAAGACTTGACATTGTCTACTAATTTGCATTGGGAGTAAAAGAGAGAAGACGTGATGAGGGCGACAGGGCCAGTGTGGGGCACATGAAGATGATGCGTGTCAACGCACGAAAATAAAGAAGCTCCTCGGGTCTTTTTCATTCTTTCTCAAACTATGCGCTCGATCAATTCTAGGGATTGCACATGCGTGCATATCGCCAGCCAGCCATGGTCCCAGGGATCAAGCTCAGACTCCCATATGCATGAGCATGAGGAAGCATGACACTATCAGATGCATGATGAACATCATTATGCATGCATGCATGCAAGCAGATGCAGCGAATACATGCATGCACTCTTCTTAGTTCTTGCCACATCCAACCAGAGTGCTCCCACCCCGACCCATCTTCTCCCCTCCCTTGTTGACTAGAACTACAATTGGATTTGGTGTTGGAATAGAATATAAAGACACCACAAGGTAACAAAAATAAACTAGACGAAGCTGATAGCATAGACATGGGATCATGAGATGTGGTTAGAGTGCTGCTGCTGCTAGTGATTGTTCATCGTGGCCGTGGCGGGGTCTTTTTTCTTTCTTATATTCTTTTTATTTTCTTTTTTGGCTATGTGTATTCTTGATGCCTTTGGACATCTTGTTAGTATAGAGGCCGGGTGTAGTTGATATCTTCGCGATATTAATATATTCCCTTTGTCGAAAAAATAGGATCATCAGACGTACGTGCATGGCGGGGTTGTCTAGCTAGACCGTACTGGCTGTGTCAGGTGGTTGGGGACGTTGAAGCTTCGATGGGCTTTGCCACTGGTTGTATTATGTCTTTTTAATTAGTACTCCCTCTGTCTCAAAATATAAGATGTTTGTAGGGAATACATCCTTAATGATTAAGGCGGTTAGTGATAAAAAATGTCTTATACTTATTTACAGAGGGAGTACATATTAATACAACAAAATATAAGGCGTTTTCTTCTCATTCATTAGCAGCTCTAGAGTTCTTACTATACACATATGATTGAACTTCATGGACTTAATTTTAACATGTTTTTCCGAGACTAGCAGAAGACGAGAGCATTATGGTGTAACCTATCATGTAGAAGGGCAGAATCAGCAAAACCACTGACCATACATTTGTTCCTTCTCTACATCCTCCTTTGTGCGGTTGTTACAAAATTCATGTCATGAGCATCAATAGATCAGGCCTGCGTACACTGAAATGATCAGCGCTGGATATATTTCTCTGCTGCTATTCTGGGCAAGAGCATTAATTTGTTGGACCTGCAGTGCAGTCAGAGATGACCAAGGAAATTGTAGGAAGGGCTAAAAAAGGAAGAGCTAAAACAAAAAGGCCCAGAGCCCACTGTACATCTCATTGATGTTCCTCTTTAAATTTTGATTTTTACCCAACTTCATGACCTAATTTTTACCACTACATATTTTGGCCTCAAGTTTACATGCATGCATAGACAGTGATTGATGTTCAAACACCATTTTGTGTAGACGAGAGCTAGAAATCCAGTGTGTGTGGTCTTAAAAGTCAGATCAGGCATCCAGTCTTGTCTCTACTCTCGCCGGCCTTTCTTTTTTCCGGAGGCTTTGATGTGTGATCGCACACTTAATTAAGCATTCTTTTCCTTGCCAATATTTCTGATTCTGGAGAGGGGCCTGGTCTTGTTCAATTCCTTGCTTGTGGCTTTAATCTTTTCCTTCTTTTGTGTATCAAGTGCAGCGAGAGAATCTGATGGCCCCCATTGATGGGAATTTCGTGTCCCTTTTCCTATTCTCTTTGGCTCCGTGGGCTCCTCATCTGCTGGTTGGTTGGATCTAATGCAGATGTGCTGAACAGTCAGCTCTGTTCAACCTTTCCTCCTCTCTATGTGTGTGTATGTGTTTACAAAGTAAATTACATCGCAAAGTGGTGCAGTAACTTCGCAGATTTTTATCCATCCACACAACCGCCAACACCAGGTGAGGAATCTAGTTCCTATTTGCATTTCCACTGCTTAACTATTACTGTTGAAAAACAATAGTTTTGAGCGGCTTAAGCCAAATCATGCGAGTTCAAAAATAATGACCCTAATCGATATGCCTTGTAAAGTTTATCAATATTTATATCTCAAGAAAAATGCATGTGAACAACAGAGAGGTTCCAGGATACACTACCATTCATCACACGGGCCCGGGCCTAAAGGTAACAGTAAATTGACACTGGCAGGAGAAATGACTAAACCGGCCCACACCCAGATGCCAATAGCTGAGCTGAGTAAAGATCAGACTTCAAAAACAAAACGTCACCCAAAGAATAGATACAGTAAAGGGGTGTGTCTAGCTCTAGTCTAGCTCGAGAAATAACTATGTCTCATCTAACTCCTATACCGTTGGATTTTACACGGTAATTCGTATTGTTTTTATTTTTATTTTTTGTTTGATTAATCAAGTAGTGTAGTAGTAGACGAGACTTTGTCAGACGAGAATTAGCAAATTCATATAGTGAAACATTTCCACACCAGCATATGACAACTGAACGTCGACGTGGTCTATCTTCTTCAGAGTTACGAATCTAGGTAACCATTACGCGACAAGAGAAAGTTTAGGCCCCCCATCAAGCGGCACCTGCATCGAAGAAATCGAGTGCTCTCATATACTAGACCAATTTTCGACTGACAAGACTTGAGCAAGTGAAGAGAGGCAGGGTTAATTAGTACTTACAACGGTCAAGTCTTCAGCCTCTACTCTCGACCCAGAGGTGACAACTCGGTCCAAGCTCCAGTGTGAACACCTCAGATAGCCAGTCATGTTGCCACCAATCATTAAATCTGGTTAAGGAACAAACAAGAAAGCCTCACTATGTAAGTAGCATAATTACATAAGAGGAAATACCATAAACCAGACCGATCAACATGAAAGTTGTCAACCACGTTCTCAAAGATCACCTACTATACTAACCCTAGCTCCTGCAGATTTAAAGCAACACTAATAGAACGAATTCACCCGAAATCCAATTTGCCTCCCGGGTGCACGTGCTCCTGCATACAAAAAAAACTTTTGAAATGTCAAAAAAAAAAATCTGTGTGTTCATAGTCACATCCAAATGCTACCTAGAATTTTTTAGGAAAAAGGTTAAACATTTTGGCATGTGCAAAAAAAAAAAACTGAACACCAAATGTTACCTCCAAATGTCACCCCGAAGTTTTTCTCTTCACCAACGAAACACGGCTGCTCCAATTCGCATGATAATCGTCAAGGATGCTTGCGACACTAACAGGAACATCCACAAAAATATCAGAATTTTTAAAACATTTACTATTTTTTTCGGGTTACTGTTCATATGGGAACAAATGCTCCCGAGAGTCAAAACGCCTACCCCCGAATTCACCGCATAAATAGCAATATTACCATATTTTTATTTTTTTCACTGCATCCATTAGCAACATTATGATTTCTATGTCACTGAATACGCGTGCGGTAATCTTCAATACTAGTACTGGAAAATAGAGAAAAATACTAGTGTAGTGTAAAAAATGATCTTATATTATGGGACGGGGGAGTAGCATATAAGAGAGAAACTATAAACCATATGTAGTGTCAATCGATGTGTCGATGTATGGGTCGTGCCTACTTTGACGTCGTATCATCTTCTATTCATTTTCTATCAGAAAATGAATCTGCTTCTTACATAAAATCACGCATGCATGATGAGACAAATATCTGGTTTTGATAAGTGGAATTTACTCCATGGTAAAAAAAAAGTGGAATTTATTCTTCTTTTCACCACACATGCATGGCAAATCAGACGTTTTCTATGGCAAAATGTATGGGTCGGTCGATGTCTCGATTTATGGGCCGTGCCTAGGTATACTTTGACGATGTATCATATATCCTATTTGTTTTCTATCAGGAAATGAATCTGCTTCTAAGTAAAATCAAGCATGCACATGATGAGACAAATATCTGGTTGATAAGTAGAATTCACTCCATGGTTTCACCACACATGTTTAACCTGGTGATATGTGTGATGTGCATGCTGCATGCCACTATGGTAGGTAGAGCAAGGATGGGCGTGCCTGGCTAGCTTTTTAGTCGAGAGGGGGGCCGGGCACTGCACTGCACCTTGCTAGCTTTCGCCTGCGCCACGCCCTTCTTATTCCGGCTGGCTGCGGCAACAGTAGCCTGCAGAAGGCAACGCCTCACCCTCGGCCTCACCCCTCCTCCGTCACATCGTCCTCTCTGACGCCTTTTCCTGCAACCGGATCGCTTCTCCTGTCCTCCTAGCTCCCCCCTCGTCGTATTCACCCCACTAACAGTACCACCACCGTCTCCTGCCTGCCATATCACACGCAGTCTGCGCAGAAGCTGAGCTAGCAGTATCTCATCAGTGGTAGCCTCGAGCCCACGTATCCACCTCGAGACAGAGAGAGAGAAGGGGAGACGAAAGAGAAAGAGACCAGAGAGAGAGTGTGAACATGATGCTCTGTGATCTCTCTTCTGACCACCACGAGGCCACCGGATCCAGCTCCCACGGTGGTGACCTCGGCTTCAGCAGCCATGTCCTGCTCAGCCCTCTCTTCGCGCCGGCGGCGACGCCGACGCCGCTGCTACCAAGGCCGGCACCGCTGCTGCTGGGGTTGGAGGAGCCCGCCAGGGCCAAGAGGAAGAGGAGCCAGCCCGGAAACCCAGGTATGAAAAGTTACCCTAGACCTAGATCATCAGCTGCTAGGTCCCTGAAATCTGAAGCTGTACGTGTTGATTTCTCTCATCAAGCAAGCTGGTTAGGGAATTAATTTCTTCTTGTGGTTTCTCTCTCTGTTGGAACGCTCGTACGGCAGACCCTGGCGCGGAGGTGATCGCGCTGTCGCCGCGGACGCTGGTGGCGACGAACCGCTTCGTGTGCGAGATCTGCAACAAGGGCTTCCAGCGGGACCAGAACCTGCAGCTGCACCGCCGCGGCCACAACCTGCCGTGGAAGCTCCGGCAGCGCACCGTGCTGCTGCCCAGGCCCGGCGGCGACGGCTCCGGCGCGCCGCGCAAGCGTGTCTACGTCTGCCCCGAGCCCACCTGCGTCCACCACGACCCGGCCAGGGCGCTGGGCGACCTCACGGGGATCAAGAAGCACTTCTCCCGGAAGCACGGCGAGAAGCGGTGGAAGTGCGAGCGCTGTGCCAAGCGCTACGCCGTGCACTCGGACTGGAAGGCGCACGTCAAGAACTGCGGCACCCGCGAGTACCGCTGTGACTGCGGCATCCTCTTCTCCAGGTACGTACACGTACGCATGTATCCCAAGCTGCTGGATTCTCTCGGCACAGCTGCCCTTTGCATCTCTGTTCGTTCGTTCGTTAGGATCTCTGAACTTTTATCTGAATTCTCATGGTACGTGCCTGGCCGGCACCGACAGTACGATAGTCGGTGATTTCACCAGGATAGATGTTACAAAGGTATTCACTGCGCGCATGCCGTAGACACATACATTTGGAATTAATTCAAAGTTTTTTCATAGTCAATTAATTCATCGATCGCTGCATGTCACGTAGACGTAGGGCTTCCCTTTTCACTTGATGTGTTCATAGTCATACACTCATACTAGTACATGATTACATGCTCAACATGCAATTTTCGAATTCCCATTTCCCTTGAAAGAATATTTCCTGGTCAAAAACTTCACCATCGATCCTGCAGCAAGCACTTAATTTTGGCTGTGCAAGAACGAGGCCCTGTCCAAAGCTTGCCTATATATGGGATCTAACCAAGAGGCATTGATGAAACACTTGGCATTTGTAGGTAGCCTGCCCCTGCAGTATGATCGTTTTCATACTTCCATTTCTTGGCACACACTCCCTGCATTAGCAAGGGGGGTTAAAGGTGCAGATTCAAGCAAGCACTGTACGTAAATGGTACATGCATGGTGGGGACCTGTTAGAAAAACTGTCGAAGATGCACAATACTGTATGAACACACAAACCTGCAGCTGGCTGCAGGAATCATCATGGAATTTACATCTCCAGCTATCACCTGCATGCGGATCCTTGACTTCAATCATAACTCTCCCTCTCTCACATTGCATGAACTTTTCTTCAACAAAGTTGAATACACGGTTCAAAAAAAAAATTGAATACATTATTTTTCATGCATGCATATATACGAGTGGTAGCCAACAAATTGAGCTACTTGGCTGATTATTTCATGTCATCCCATATGTGTTAACGTGTGGCTCGTGCATGCATGCAGGAAGGACAGCCTGCTGACCCACAGGGCCTTTTGCGACGCCCTAGCCGAAGAGAGTGCAAGGCTCATCGCAGCTGCGAACAACAACAGCGCCGCCACCACCTGCAACAACAACAACAGCGGCGGCAGCAGCAGCGACATCAACAATATGCTCATGCCAAGCAACAGCTCGCCACTCTTTCTCCCTTTCGCAAGCCCTCCTCACGCTCAAAACCCTAACCCCCTCATGTTTCTCTCCCAAGAACCTCAACACCACCAGGTGCTCCCCCCGTTCCAGCCCCTGACATACCTTGATGACCTCCCTATGACTACCGGTAGCGGTTCGGCCGTCAGCGCCGACACTGTCAGCTTCCGGCTCACTCCAGAAGGCTCGGTGACTATGCACGCCGGTGGCCGCCACCTCACCAGGGACTTCCTAGGCGTCGACAACTCCGGGGAGGTCGAGGAGCTGCAGATGTCGGTGCCACTGTGCGCCACCCCGTACCAGGGACGCTCCGTCGGCTCCGCCACCGCCTGCTGCGCCACCGACCTGACCAGGCAGTACCTCGGCCGGCTGCCGCCGGTGAACGAGCCGTGGAGCCACAACTTCTAGGGACTCACCAGCAACTCATCAACAAGATGACCACCGAAGACTTGACAGACAAAAAGTAGCTTTGTGTGCGCTCGTTACCTTAGCTCTTGTCCATGATTGTTTTTCCAGGAACACAAGTTATGTGCGTCTTTTGCATTGAGAATGGAAATGGAACATGCAAAGTACTGTTACGGCAGATCACATGTGATCGCCTGGTTCCGCCGGCTTCTGACAACAAAAAGCAGGCGAATCGAAGGGTGTGGTAATTGACACCTCTCCAGCTTATCTATCGTCCACAGCCTGTTCTTTTGGGCTAGCCACACGAACACCTTCTTGATGTCCATGGTTGTCTTCATATGCTTGAATTTATGTTAATTAGATGCTTAATTTCCGTGTCACACATTAGAGCATCTACAGCCAGACTTGCAAATCCGGGCCCTCAAACACCAGACGCGTCCGCGGACAGTGACCGGACACTCGTCAAATCGCGTCGTCTACATCCGTGTCTCTCATATCCGAACCCCTATATCCATACTATAGCATGCAACATTAAGCAAACTGCGTAGATCATCTCCGGACATAGAAATTGCACAATAGTTCTCCAAAAGATCCATCAAAGTTCACACAAACGACGGACAACTAAATACTACATCTAAAACTTGAAATTAAAATCAACTTCGCAACTTCCGGGCCGGCCCTTTCCCCTTCTGGTCGCCGGCGTAGCTGTACCCGTCGTCAGCTGGTGGTGGATCGCCTGATTCGTCGTCGGAGGAGGAGTCGATGATGACGAGGCCCTTCAGGCGCTGGACGGCCCGGTCCTGCTGGCGCCTGAGCTTGGCCAGCTGAGCCGCCTCCTTCGCCTTCTCCAACGCCTCCAACTCGGACTGCTCAATGGCAAGCCGAAGAGCCTTGGCGTTCTTCCGGCAGAGCCGCCGAGCGTCCATATCCGCCGTCGTAAGCAACCGGCGGTAGACACACGCGAGGAGCCGCTCGTCCTCATCGGGCTCCTCCGGTAACTCACACCGGCGGCGGACAGAGCTCTCCATAGCCTCTGTCTCCCTTACCTACTGCCACTCGCGGCGGGCGGCGTGCGCGTCCGGGCCGACGGGGCGGGCACAAGCACCCACTGCTGCCCACGAGGGGGAGCAGCAGCCGGCGGGGCGAGGGGACGGCGTGGAGAAGCAGCAGTCGATGGGGCGATGGGACGGCGTGCAGGAGGCGCCGATTGCGCTGGCCACCTGTCAGAGCTACCCATAGGCCGGGAGGAGCCAGCGCCGGCATCCGAGATGCGCCGACGGGGAAGCGCCGGCGGCTGCGGCGAGGCTGCAGATCCAGAGCTGCCCATGGTGCCCACCTTGGACCGCTCCAAGGCGATGCGGAGGGCAAGCTCGTACTCGGGATCCACCTCATCGTCGAAGCGACTGCCAGAGCTCGACATTGCGCCGGATTCGATCGAAATCGGTGAGGGGAGAGGAGAGGACGGAGCAAGAGAGGAGAGTGAGTGAGCTAGGGTTTCGGACCGACGATGTCGATGGGGTTTTTTGTGGGACATCTGTGGGGTCGGTGATGGGTCGAGCTGATCAGACATGCACCCCGATATCCGCCCCATATTTGTGCTGGAATGGGGGGTGCCGGTCAGTCCAGGCATTTGAGATTCATTTGAGGCGTCCGTAGGTCGAAAAAACCTGACCGAGGAGTGACTGGGCAGCCCGCCCGGAAATATGAGGCGGATTTAAGAGGTCCGGCTAGATGCTCTTAGGTTACGTGGATCCTATCTGGACTATGCGTTGATCGATCCAACCTAGTTTACATGCTTTTTTTCTCTCCATGAGAGATGCCTGGCCAAATGTCGATGCATGACATCTTCATGTATGATCCGTACGTTGTGCTAATTTCTTCATGTTGGATGCACGCACTAGCTAGCTACGTTTAGCACTTTCAGGTTTTTATTCTACATGGATGGCAGCATAATCTTCGAATCGGTACATCACCTCTTTCGATATAAGCATAGGATTGGTCCTATATAATTTTACCGTTGTCGATATGTCAGTTTTTCATCATTTCTGTTGTCAGACTGTTGGTAGTATTTCATTGTGTGTATCTTATCTATTCAGAGGCCTAATGCTGATCATCATTCTTTGTATCTACTTGATGCTACATTATAAAGTAATAAACATATCCTTTTATCGAAAAATGAAAAATATTTTTTTTTAGAAAAGGAGGATGTGCCCCCGGCCTCTGCATCTGGACGATGCATGCAGCCATATTATTAATTATTCACAAAGACCATACAAGGTGATACATCAATAAGCCTGAAGTAATTATCTTGGCAATGCTGTTGCTACTCCTATCCCCTTGATGAAGGCATGCCGAATGTCCGGGCCTAATACCAAATAGACATTGCAACAAAACCTAACATCTAAAGCCGGGTGTCCCATCCAAGCCACTACCTGGATTGGGTCCCACACCGGTCTGACACACTCCAAGTGAGCACCGCACGCTGCATGGGTCGTTACCTCCATCTTCCCTCGGTCCATCCTCAGAGCAAAATTGATGCACCGACCTTGCCAGGCCTCTCCGCCATCAACGCCAGACAGCTTCCTCCTCCTGCACGAGTCCATCTCCAATACGCACCAATCACCGTACCTCTGCGGCGCCATGCCGCCGGGATCTGCCGTCGGCCTTGCGGTAGATGTAACACCGCTCCTCCTCTTGTCCCCTCCAGCCAGCACATGCTCCAAAACGATACCCCAGGAGGGACAACGGCATCGAAGGTGCCATCATCATCCGATCCGGTAGACCTAGATCTAGGGTTTCCCCCGGAGTATCACGAGTGGGGCGTCATGACCTACAACAACTATGCCTCGAGAAGGGAATGACGTCATAGATGCCGCCATTGTCCGCCATGACCGTGGCGCGATTTTCACCCAAAATCACAGCCCCCCGATCTCGCAGCTGTCTGAAACCGAAAGAAGCTTCACCGTGAAGACCAAAGCCATCGTCGGCATGCCGACAGGGAGCCTCCAGCCGCCCCTCACCGGTCCTCCACGTATCATCGATTGCTACGCCGAGGCGGATTTGGATGGGACGCCAGATCCGCGGCTTCCGTCGCCCATCTCCAAGCATAGACTCCACCGAGGGGAAGAGCACCATGCCGGCCATGGATCCGGCCGCCGCCCTACCTGCTGCTCGCGGATCCAACACTGGAGTCGCCCCTGTCGCCTCCGGGTGATCCCGCAGCCCCCGTCGTGTCCGGCCCTCCACACGCATGACAAGGCACCGCAGCACCGCCGCCGGACCTGCCTGCGCGCCGCCGCTCCCCAGATGAACGCGCCGCCGCCGCCCGAGGACGCCCGCCCGCGCCGAGCCCTCGCGCGAGGAGGAGATGGGGCCCCGCCGCCGCCAGCACCTACCGGGCTTAGCCCGGCGGCGCGGACAGGCGGCGGCGAGGGGAGAAGAGGGGCGGTGGGGACCTGAGGCGCGGGCGGCTAGGGTTGCCCTCCTCGGTCGCTCGCGGGGGGAGCGACGCGAGAGGGTTACGACGCCTTTTCTTTGATTTTTCGATGGTCATAATTTTTTGATGTTATTTTGCATGTTAGGAATTTATTCATCGGTAAATTTTTGGGTATCCAACACGCATGAGACATCAGTATGCCGTTTGATGGAAGATTTCATTTCGCGTAGTTATTACAACATAGTTTCTTGGAATTATGTCAAATTCCAGTCCATTTGAACGATCCCTTGAGACCCCATCCCCCCTTCCTCGTCGCCCCCGCGTACGATGGGGAGGGATTCCTAGCCACCGAAGCCGAACCCTCCTACCACTCCCTCCTCCTCCCTCGCAGCTCCGTGGGAGCACTCTGGTTGGATGTGATAAGAAGAGTGCATGCATGTATTCGCCGCATCTGCTTGCATGCATGCACAATGATGATCATCATGCATCTGAAATCTGATACTAGTGTCATGCTAGCTCATGCATATGGGAGTCCGAGCCTGATCCCTGGGACCATGGCTGGCTGGCTGGCGATATGCATGTGCGTGCAATCCCTAGAATTGATCGAGCGCGTAGTTTGAGAAAGATGAGGAAGAGGGGAAAGGGCCCGGGGAGCTTCTTTGCTGCCGTGCGTTGACAAGCATCATGTTCATGTGTCCCACAACGGCCCTGTCGCCCTCATCGCATCTTCTCTTTTTTAATCCCAATGCAATTGGTAGACAATGTCAAAGTCTTAATCTCCTTCCGGGAAAAGTATTTCCTGATAAGATGCACATATTTTTCTCTCTTGATCAGTCCGCAATTGTAATAATCAAGTCCCTCAGGGAAAAAAAATCTGGATCCTTTCTTTTCCATCTTGATTTATGAAGAAAAAAAATCATCAACCTGTAGGTGTCTTTATTAATCTCACACATCGGTATAGGATGTTTACCGGGTGTTTAGACCTTTATAACTAGCTATATTTACACACATATGGTTGACATACTAGTAACTAGAGCCTGCATGCAGCCAACATTTGGAATGGATCCCAACCAAATGCTTTTGGCAAAAGATGTGGCAGTAGGCATGCAAAAGATGGAAAGCCTAATGGTGGAATATTCTCGGTGAGTTGTGGTGGATAAAGGATATAAAGTTGGACTTGCTTGGGAATAAACCTAGGGATTATATCCCACGGCAAGCATGCACGCAAAGGGACTCTGCATATACCTAGCCAGGCTTTCCATGAAAAGCCCTATGGGAATTAGCAGGAGCAAACCCCGATATACATGCCAATTGCCCTCTCAAAAGATCACTGCATGGCTTTTTTTCCTCTTTTGCTTTCCATTCTTTCTTTATTCCCCTCCCTGGCTTTTGCAATCCAGGCTGCATTATTACCAAAAAGCTTTTGCTTCCTGACACTGGCTTTGCACTGCAGGATATACAATCAAAGTCTGTCTATCAACATACCTCAACTGCCCTCTAGTCTTATAGAACGAATTCTTTGTAGAATCTACCTCAGATGAGTCCAAGAGTTCGCTCCTGACAAGAA